TTATTACCCAAAACTAGAATGCTTCATTTTTCCCAGATCCTACAAGCCAGTTTGTGTTCATAGGAGAAGGAGTACTCCCAGCAAGCCAAAATAACCCCCAGAAAAAACAGAGTGAAGAGTTGCTAGTGCATTTTCCATGTATCTTGCAATTCTGACCTTTTAACACTTTGCTCAGGAACATGGTAAATAAATCCATGGGATGTGTCATTTGTAATGCTCCTGGCAAGAAGAAATGCAAACTACTCCTCTCAGAGGTCATTTCCTTCCTCTCCAGTTCAGACATTTTTCACTATCCCCACTACTAAATGGAAAATTGAGTTAGTTATTGTATAGACATTTGGTTTAAACACTGCCTTCCTGGAGGTGTTAAAATCCATTAGACAGTGTAAAGTATTGTAGACCAGCCTTAGGGGGTTGAGGGTCAATTTATCTCCTCTCTGCCACTGAAGGAAGCAGGGTAGTGAAGAAAAACGTGAGTGACAGCTTGTTTTGCTTTACTCCCACTTAGCCAATCAGCATGTACCAGGCTTGGCAGAAAAGGGACAGCTCTGAAGAATCGGTGCCCATCAGGAAAAGACAGGATACAGAGGGACATTCATTAGCTGCTACCCAGATAGGGACCCAGCTTTGCTCACTGCATCCAAGACATAACCCAGTGACACTGGGTTAACCTGGCACACAGCAAATCTGCGGACATGCAGCCCCAGAAGACAGCAAAATCATCCTCCAGCTCCACCAACATGCTATTGTAACCTGAGTGTCCAAGCCAGAAAAACATGCAGAAATGGATGTGTTTCATGGATGAGCAGCTTTGGACCTCCAACAAGTGAGGTTTGGACTACCACTATTATGCCAAATGGCAACCTGTGTGGTGGTGGGGTTTGGCCTTCAGCTCACACAGCATCCAGTTTTTGAGGAAAAGCAAGAGTAAAGGTGCCTGTAAGTAGCTCTGGCAGGCAGTCTGGTCCTCACAGGTGTGCAACCAAGACACCAAAGCAGTAACTGAGCCACTTCAACCTTAACCCAAGTACAGCTTACAAACAAGAATACATCAATGTAAATAAAGTGTGTAAAGTGGAGGACACTAGCTCAGAAAACTGAACAAGACTGGTTTTCCCCTAGCCCTGACATAATTCCCCTTGTGAATTCCCCAAGCTGTTGGCGTTAAACAAAGCATCTCCAGCTGGTCCAGGGAGGGGATTGTCCCACTCTGCTCTGCACTGGGGTGGCCTCACCATGAGTCCTAGGGGCAGTTGTGGGTTATACAATGTAAAAAGGACATTAAGCTCTTAGAGAGCTTCCAAAGGAGGGCAACAAAGGTGGTGAAGGGCCCAAAGAGGAAGCTGTATGAGGAGAGCTGAGGTCACTTGTTCTGTTCAGCCTGGAGGAGATTGAGGGGAGACCACATTTCAGTCTACAATTTCTTTTTGAGGGGAAGAGCAGGGGCAGACACTGGTCTCTTCTCTAGGACAGAACCCATGGAAAGGCCTGAGGTTGTGTCTGGGGAGGTTTAGGTTGGGTATTATAAAAGGGCTCTTCCCCTTATGCTTAAAGTTTTAGCTTTCATATTTTTCAGATTCTGTACTGCCTAAGTGTGTGACTCTGAACTTCATGTAAGGTGTTATCAAGTTCTCTTCACATTTTAGTTAGACAAAACAATCCTTTTCCAGCCTGAGAAACAAGGACACTGTTGCAGCTTCAGGCCCAAAAAGTACAAACAACAGCAAACTGAGGAGAGCAGTCTGGGAGAATAGAATTTCATAAACTGAAGCTGTAATTGGACAATTAACCCCAATATGTAAATGAACCAAAACTTAAAAAAGTGTGAAAATTCCTGACCAGTCATCCATCTGGGCTCCATCTCGGGTCCATCCTGGTTTCAGGTCTGGTTGGGCTACTGCCCAAGGTGTATCATTTAAAAGCCTTTTAATAAATACTTACTTGATTCCTTTAACACTGTCTAGCCTCTGTTCCAGGTAGTCTCTCTCGGCATCACCCCCAGAGGGTGGTTGGGCACTGGAACAGGCTCCACAGGAAGTGCTCACAACACCCACCTCACAGCAGAGTTCAAGCAGCATTTGAACAATATTCTCATATGGAAGGACTCTTGGAGGTGATCCTGCGCAGAGGCAGGACTTGGACTTCTAACTCGGCTTATTCTGTGATTTTGTGAGTCTGTGGGTCTGTGATCCTGATTCTCTTCTCCTTTCCTCCTGCTAGAGGCATTAGTTTGCATTTGTAAGCTGGAAAGTCCTTTTTCCACTGCAGAGTGAAATACTGCTCCTCTTAGTAGACTAGTACTCCACAATTCTGCCTCAAGTTTTCACATTCCTATGAGTGTACTCCTTGCTCCTGTTTGTGAGTTTGTAGCAGAAATGTTAGCATTCAAAAGTTTACAAAGAGGAGCCATGAGGCTCGGGGCCTGTAATTGCCTCAAACCAATGTGTAAACCAGCTTGTCCTCCATACCCTATTCAGAAATTTAACTCACCTTTACAACACAGATAGCTCAGCACTTATGCCTTTGCCCTTAGTCAGGCATGAGAAAACTACAGCCTTCCCATGCACATGTGTAATGGAAGCCCAACTGTGCACACATACCAAACTGAGCCTGAGGTACAGGAAGGCTTTGCTGTTTCTGGCAAGTAATGCTAACACAGGCATAGAAAATAGCAACTTTTGTAATCCTCATACTTTTTTTCAAGAAAAGGAAAGTGTACAGTTGTCTTTCATTGGAATAAAAGTCCTTTTATTTGAGTTCTTTTCTTCACATCTTGTTTTTAACTACTTATTTGTGGTCTGCCTTGCAGCTCTTCAGGTTGCCTTGCAAGTGTATGAACTAGAAGAGACCAGCTCTATGCATAGTGACTATACTGGATACAGAGCAGAGCAAACTGGACATAAATGCATATATGTAGAACTGACAGAGAAACAGGAATTTACAGAGTCAATAGATGATGCTGACTCAAATCTCAGCCCTAGTATTCAGACAAGACTGAGCCTATTTCTTTGTATGTCCATGTATGTTTTCAAGTGAAATATCCCAGACAATTAGCATCTCGGTTTTCCAGTCCTGGCTATTCAGATAAAGACCACCACTCTACTTCTTATGCTCAGTTCCCTGGATTGCAGAAAAATAGGGTTATTCAAGTTTTAAATCTGGCTTAATAACTGATCAGCATGGAGATGCGCCTTTTAGTGTACTAATAAGAAGTTCATAACAGCTTTTTTTCCTTCTTAATATTGGTTAGCTGTGGCAATTTTAGTCTTTTTAATTACTCAAACATACCCTAAACAGACATAAAATTACTTGACCGACACACAGGATTTTCCTACAAACATTCTTTCCCTGGATTTTCACACTATTCCTTGAAATTTTGTACTTTTTTTTCCCAGCATGTGCCACCTAGCTGCCCTGCTTGGTGATTTCTACTTTGTAGGACCTCCAAAACTCCTTTTTCCCCAGCATGTGCCATCTCCTAGCTGACCTGCTTGGTGAGTTCTACTTTGTAGGACCTACAAAACTCTTCATCATTAAGGCCCTGATTTTTTTTTTTTTGGTGGGACTTTTGTAGGTACTGTTCTACCATTTTCAGGTATCCTCAAGAATTAAATCACTGATGTAATTAGAAAAACTGTCCCCAGCATGTGCCATCTCCTAGCTGACCTGCTTGGTGATTTCTACTTTGTAGGACCTCCAAAACTCTTCATCATTAAGGCCCTGATTTTTTTTTTTTTGGTGGGACTTTTGTAGGTACTGTTCTACCATTTTCAGGTATCCTCAAGAATTAAATCACTGATGTAATTAGAAAAACTGGGCAGTGTAAGCTGTCCTTTTCCTCTGACTACACTGTCAATGCTCATGTGGGGACCTATCATCCTCTGACATATCTTGACCCACCAAGAAGCCAAGCAGTTCTACTTCAGTGAAGATATCAAGGAACATAGCTCCAGATGATGCCAATATTTTTAAGGCGTTGACTGAATGAATTGAATTATGTTTTTGTTACAGTGGTGTTTTGAAATTAGCAATACCTTGCAAAAGGAATCAGGAGTTCTCCGCCATACATGTCTCTCATGCCTCGGTATGTACTTCAGACACCAATGCAGTGGTTTCCAGGCGAGCTGTGAATATAAAATAGTGGCAATCAGGCCATCACTCTAAAAGTGCAGTTTCTGACATGGTCTTGTTACACCAAAAGCTAGAGGATGGTGTATATAAAGAAATTTTAGCACTCTTCATCTGAGATTTAAAGGCTTCCCAAATACAGATGCCATGCCAGGATCAGGCTCATTTCATCACCAGAGTTTGTAGAAACACACTGTGGAAAGTGGCTATTTTCTTTAGCTTCCTCACATGGAAGAGCCTAAATTTCTATGACTACTTATAGAAGATATTAATTTTTTGTGTTTCTTATTAACTTTTCACTACTCAAACATACCCTAAACAGACATAAAATTACTTGACCGACACACAGGATTTTCCTACAAACATTCTTTCCCTGGATTTTCACACTATTCCTTGAAATTTTGTACTTTTTTTTCCCAGCATGTGCCACCTAGCTGCCCTGCTTGGTGATTTCTACTTTGTAGGACCTCCAAAACTCTTCATCATTAAGGCCCTGATTTTTTTTGATTTTTTTTTTTGGTGGGACTTTTGTAGGTACTGTTCTACCATTTTCAGGTATCCTCAAGAATTAAATCACTGATGTAATTAGAAAAACTGGGCAGTGTAAGCTGTCCTTTTCCTCTGACTACACTGTCAATGCTCATGTGGGGACCTATCATACTCTGACATATCCACATGGGTACCCACCAAGAAGCCAAGCAGTTCTACTTCAGTGAAGATATCAAGGAACATAGCTCCAGATGATGCCAATATTTTTAAGGCGTTGACTGAATGAATTGAATTATGTTTTTGTTACAGTGGTGTTTTGAAATTAGCAATACCTTGCAAAAGGAATCAGGAGTTCTCCGCCATACATGTCTCTCATGCCTCGGTATGTACTTCAGACACCAATGCAGTGGTTTCCAGGCGAGCTGTGAATATAAAATAGTGGCAATCAGGCCATCACTCTAAAAGTGCAGTTTCTGACATGGTCTTGTTACACCAAAAGCTAGAGGATGGTGTATATAAAGAAATTTTAGCACTCTTCATCTGAGATTTAAAGGCTTCCCAAATACAGATGCCATGCCAGGATCAGGCTCATTTCATCACCAGAGTTTGTAGAAACACACTGTGGAAAGTGGCTATTTTCTTTAGCTTCCTCACATGGAAGAGCCTAAATTTCTATGACTGCTTATAGAAGATATTAATTTTTTGTGTTTCTTATTAACTTTTCACTGAACAATTTACCCCTGCTCTGTGTCATTAGTTCCTGGGAAAGAGCAGCCAAGAATATTGCTGTTTCATATAGTTCTTTTTTCTTTACAGTACAGAATTGAGAAGCTGTTTGAAGGGATCCAGTAGGATCTGAATTAAGTAGCCATCTCTGAGAAAGAGGGTCAGTAGTCCACTCCTCACCCAGAAGCTGTATGAATTCACACAAATTCACACACACACACCCACATACCCACACACACACACAGAGGATTTCTTAGCATCAGGTACCTATAAGATTACCTGGTGCCTTCCTACAGACCTTTTTGCAGAGCATAAATTGTAGACAGGACTATAAATTGCATGCAGTTCAAACCTGCTGGTTTTCACTAGTTAATGTCACTGGTTTACTTAAATGTTTGTTATACAGACCTCTACATGTCAGCAGGAAACGGGTGCTCAAAGGCACTGACACCTCTGCTTGTAACACTGCTCAGGTACTGCTGTGATTACTGCAAAACAGATAATTGGCACTCATAGGACACATGGCTCAGTACTTCCATATTCAAATTACTGATAGAATAAGATCATATTTGTCCGCTTCATATATCATTAATATTCCTGGTGCCTTACAAAAAAAACCCAAAAAACACAGAAAAAGCCTGTAAAAGCATTAGGTAACTCTTACCCCTTGCCAGCATATCTTAGCATTGATTTTACTCAACACATTGTAAATTTCCTAATTCTATTAACAGAATGTGTGAGCAGAGATGATGATAAAGCTAGAATTACAAGAAAACATATGGCCTTTTTGATATACCTTCTCTAACGTTCTCAGGCTTGGGCTCAGGAGTTGCCCAGTTCTACTGCGATAGGTACAAAACTTGCCATTATTTTGATTAAGCAAGGTATTAGTGCAAGAAAGTACGTACAAAGTATTAATACTGCACTGGTACTATTGGAGATCTACCAGACATTTCATAGTGAAGCAACTGAGTTAATAGCAGTCAGGCTTTTAGATTCTGGAAAAAGTAACACAAGACAAAATTGCACAGGAAAATGCAAGCAGACTGTATGTTCTTGGTGCACTCATACCAAAGTTACACCGTCCATATGTGAGAAACTCCATCACTGCGCTTCAGTACGCTATTTTTGGTATTTGAAAGCTAACTTCATATCAGATGCCACAGCTGAGTAAAAGCCTCCTTCCCACAAGCTCTTTCAGGTTGCATATTTGGGCCAATGATTTTTTTGTGCAAGTTTTCACATAGGCATGAAGGGCAGATACTGACAGACTAAATTTATCCTTGCCAAGCAAACTGGATCACAGCTCATCCTGGGGCTTGCTAGAGTAATGAACTTCATAGAGTTCAGTCATCCAAAATGCTGAATTCCTTCAAGGAGGGCTCATCTTCCTGAACTCCATTAACCCTGGTTCTTAGGCAGAACTTTTCACCCTCTTGGTAAGAAAGGCGGATCTGTGAATCAAGGATTTCCAGGGCTTAAGGCTGTCCTCAGTCCTTCAGGATCTTTATGCTCTACACAAGATTGTATCCATCTCTGTAGGCACTACCCTGAGGAACGAGCTCCACATGGAAGTTAGCTGACAGAACTAAAGAGGGAGGGAGGGAGGGAGGAAGGAAGGAAGGAAGGAAGGATTTGTAAGAGGTAGATCCATGATATATTTTTAAGTAGATTAATCAGTAAGACCCAGCACGCAGTGACACACTGGCATTACACCACCACTTGCTCACTATAGTGATTTCATAGCTTAGAAATGAACAAAGGAACCAGAAAAAATGACTTGCCTCTGCCCTCTTTCTGCTTTATTTTAACTATTGTCTGTGTGAGGTTAACACAGTGCTGCACTCTGCTCTTTCTGTCACAGGAAGCAGAACTAACCTGCACACGTTTGACAGCATCAGGTTGTTCCCTTTCACAGCAGTGTCAGAAGGACAACTCCTTACTGCAGAATAGGGAGGGTGCCTGGTAAAGACCATCAGAACAATCACTCTGTTTCTGGATATCTGTGTCAATGACATCACCAGAAAAAAGTACTTAGTGCAGGCCAGAGGATGTTATTATAATGTTGTTGTAGCTTGCTGTTATTATAATGTTGTTGTTGTTGTTGTTGTTGTTGTTGCATTGCCTTAAGGTAATGTGAGTTCCCAAAATATGTAGTGAGGATTTATGTCTATCTTCTCAAGTATTGGTTAATTTAACAGCATATTCCTCTGCCCACAAAACTAGAGCTCTAAAATACTGCAGTGGTCTCCATGGAAATAGACAGTATCAGCCCTGTCTACTGGTGGTAATATTTTTAGTAATGAAGGAATTAACATTTTATTTTTGTACAGGCACTTTGGAATAAAACCATCTTATCTTTCAATTCCTTCCAGTCTCTTGCACATGAAAATAGGTATAGCAGCTGTCCACAATCTCTTTGCTCTCTTCTCCCTAACTTCCTTTCCCCAAAAGAAAAAAATATTTTGGAGTTTTCTTGGTTGGTTGGTTGGTTTGCTTTGGTTTGTTTTTTTTTGGGTTTTTTTTTTGTTTGTTTTTTTTTGTTTTTTTGTTTTTTTTTTTTGTTTGTTGTTTTTTGTTTTTTTGTTTTTTTTGTTTTGTTTTGGTTTGGTTTGGTTTGGTTTGGTTTGGTTTGGTTTTTTTTAATGTGTAAGGGTTGGCAGTTGCAGCAAGGTCTTCCTGATGAAAATTTCAAAAAGAAGGTTTTTTTTCTATTTTCTATTGCTGATACAAGCCAGGTTGACACTGGCCTTCTTAGCCACCTGAGCTCACTGCTGGCTCATGTTGAGCCACTGCCAGCTAAACAGCCACCCCCAGGTCATTTTTCCACAGGTAGCTTTCAGCCACTCTTTCTCCAGCCTGCAGCACTGTTGTGACCAGAGTGTAGGACCTGGCATTTAGTCATGTTGAACTTCCTACTATTGGCTTTGGCCCTTCAGTCCAGCCTGTCCAGATTCCTCTGCAGAGCCTTCCTGTCCTCCAGCAGATCAGCGCTGCCACCCAACTCGGTATCGTCTGCCAGTTTACAGAGGGACATTTGTCTGAACAAGTCATTTATCTATTGCAGCCAATTACCTTTTTATTCTGTCCTTGACAGTAGAACCAAGTCATCAGAGCACTGACACTATTGAGTTTCCTCTTAAATTGTCTTTTTTGTGGGTTTGGTTTGGTTTGGTTTCATTTTGTTTTTCCAAACAGCTCAGATATCTGCTATGGGGGGGGTGGGAGGGTGAGGGGGGGAGGAAAAACAACTTTTTCTAAACTTTTGTGTTGTAGGCTGCCTTTGAGAAAAAAGATAATGGTACATCTGAGTCTGACAGCCCTTGAGGAGCCAAGTGGCAGGAAAGGGTATTTCATTAAGTATTAAATTCTATTTTCTTCTGAGGAAATTACACACAATCTGTGGTAAGGAGCAAAATTAGTTTGCTCAATTTTCATACAGAAATGCTGGATGCTGCTTTTCTCCATCCACTGTAAGGCATTCCATTTCTCTCCAAGATCTTCCTCGTTGTCGTTAGTGCCATCACTTCTGGCTTAAGAAGGAATTCAATAAAATGGTGGGAGGTGAGGGTGCAAAATAGAGAAAACTGCTGAAGTGTTTTGTTTCTGGGTTTGAAATCTCTCTGTTTTTTGCATTTGGGAATGTGACAGTCTCAGAACTGCAGAGATGCTGCAATTTTCTCAGAAGAAAAATATATTTCAGACTAAGCTTCCCTGTATAACATTGTGTTTGCCCCCAAGTCAAAGACAAAAACCTAATAAATTGTCCTCTCTTTTGGTACAAAGGTATATGAACTAAGGCAAGTGTGCATGAAACCCTGATCCTTTAGTTGCCATTTTCAGAAGCACCTGCACTGAGTGGTGAAAACTGTCAGCTACAGTACCAAGAGCAAAAGTCTGTGTAAGAGGGGGTACTTTTTGATAACAGCATGAAGGGAGAGACCAATGTCACATCAAGCAGGTGACAGCTTTTCTCCCACTGTATTTCAGCTTCTGGTTTCATGGCTTCAGACCTCCTCAAACACAGAAAGTGTCTTCTTTCCTCACAGTCCATGAACTTTTCATTCCTGAATATGTGTAGCTGGTTTAAAAGATTAGGTTTTAAACAGGTTCAAAGAGTCCTGTGTCAGTGATTGTAACTCAATCAAAACACATTTCCTTATGGCCAGAACCTGGTCCTGATTGGCTTGGACACCATGCACAATGCTGAGCAGTTGCAGAGGTCTATTACTCGGTTTACATAAGAGCCTTCCTTTGAATCCAACATTAAAATCATGTTCTGTCCTCTTTGAGCACAGCTGTATGTTGAGATCTGCAAGCATCTCAGTGGCTTTGACACCCCCAGTTGCTATGTATCTGCTTTTGGCAATTAGTGGTGCATCAGCTGCAGTTACAGAGTGACATTTTGCTGGTACCCATAGAGATGGCTCTCTTCCAGTCTCTTGGTGAAGACTGGATCCAGGTCTTTACCCCAACACAGCTCAGAAGGAGGAGACATATAGGACGCTTGATCTCAGACAACTGAAGATTTAGCTTAATTATTCTGAGCTCACCAGAAGTCCACTGTAATCCCCATCCAGAGACAAGGAGTCAAACTGACATTGAAGGCCTTGGCAGAGCAAGCTTAGGCAGAGCTGAAGCAGAGCCTATTTCTGAATTGCTACAGCTCACAGCATCATCTCTTTTTTTTTTTTGG